TGTCGGTTTTCTGCACTTAACTCGAGCTGTAGGATAGCTACAGAGCTGGTACTCACAGAAACTGATTCAGAATCATCAGGCGCGTTCACCTGAAGCATCTAGAGGTCTGAACTCAGTCTGCTACTCGAGCTAGGTCCGCACAACTATTCGTATTATACAGATTTTCTTGACAGATGCTGCTGATTTTCGGTACTTAACTCGAGCTGTAGGAGAGCTACAGGGCTGATGCGCCCACGTAATCGATTCAGAATCATGACGCGCGTTCGTCCCAAGCGTCTAGAGGTCTGAACTCGGTCCACTAACCGAGCTAGGTCCGCGAAGCTATTCGTATTCACGGAATTTGTTGACAGGTGCTCTCGGTTTTCTGTACTTAACTCGAACTGTAGGAGAGCTACATAGCTTGTACGCCCACAAAATCGATTCAGAATCATCATGCGCGTTCGTCTGAAGCATCTAGAGGTCTGAAATCGGTCCACTACTCGAGCTAGGTCCGCAACACTATTCCTATTGTACGAATTTTCTTGACACCTGTTGTCGGTTTTCTGTACTTAACTCGAGCTGTAGGAGAGCTACAGGGCTGATGCGCCCACTTGCTCGATTCAGAATCATCAGGCTCGTTCGTCTGAAGCATCTAGAGGTCCGAACTCGGTCTGCTACCGAGCTGGGTTAGCGAAATTATGCGTTTTCTACAGATTTTTTCCGAGATGATGGTGGGCTCCTTGACTAAAGTCGAGCTGCATCCAAGCTTCAGAGCTCTTTGGCACAGACATCGAGAGGGAATTATCAGGCGCGCTAGTCTAAGGTGTCCAGACGCTTGAATTCCGTTTGTTTTCACCACAGAAGCCGAACAGCTATTCATATTCTGCTTTTTTTTCCTGGTGATGGAATTGTTGCTCTGACTAAACTTGAGCTGCAGATGAGCTCCCGAGCTCTTAGGCAGAGCAATTGGGAGACAATCATGAGGCGCGCTATTTGATCGTGTCTAGATCCCTGAAATCAGTCTCCTATGAACGCTCGGGCTGAACAACTGTTCGTACTCTGCTAATTTCTTGGAGACGGTATTGGTTTTCTTGGTATAACTCGCGCTGCAGATGAGCTACAGGGCTGTTCTGCACAGCAATCGGAAGGAAATCATCAGAGGCGCTAGTTGAAAGTATCTTGACGGCTGCAATCAGTCTGCTATTAGCGCTCGGGCTGAAAAACTATTCGTACTCTGCTTATTCTTTAGAGATGGTATATGGGAAGGAAGCTCTACGAGTCCCCCGGCGGTAACCAAGGTTGACGGTCTACCGCCGGCGCCCAGTGTGATGACCTGGGGTCCGTTTTTCGAAGATTGTGAGGGATTTTGAAATTCGCTTTGGGAATTCAATTTTTTTATTCTCTGCAGTTGATCATGGCGCGTTTGATGGTGCAATTCCCAGTCCTCTAGCTGCATTATTTCGATCAAGAGACTAGGAGGAACCGACGTTGTGTAAAAATTGAAAAAATGTACAATTTTCAAGCTGATATTTACGAACGGTTTCCTTTCTTTATATGGGAACTGATCCGGTCTCTGCAGAGCTCTACGAGGGTCCCGGCGGTAACCTGATTGACGGTTCACCGCCGGCTCCCAGTTATGTTCTGGAAGTTCAACAATTCGCTGGAGCTCTAGTATTTTTTCCGTGATATGCGATCTTATACCCGTTCGTCGTCTCAATCTCAGCTCGATCGGGTACCTATTACTGCCGAGTCATCTCGACACGCGTTCACGGTTTTCTGTACTTAACTCGAGATTTAGGAGAGCTACAGAGCTGGTGCGCACAGAAACCGATTCAGAATCATCAGGCGCGTTCATCTGAAGCGTCTAGAGGTCTGAACTCAGTCTGCTACTGATTTTCTTGACAGATGCTGTCGGTTTTCGGTACTTAACTCGAGCTGTAGGAGAGCTACAGAGCTGGTGCGCCCACGTAATCGATTCAGAATCATGACGCGCGTTCGTCCCAAGCGTCTAGAGGTCTGAAATCGGTCCACTACTCGAGCTAGGTACGCGAAGCTATTCGTATTATACGAAATTTGCTGACAGGTGCTCTCGGTTTTCTGTACTCAACTCGATCTGTAGGATAGCTACATAGCTTGTACGCCCATGTAATCGATTCAGAATCATCATGCGCGTTCGTCTGGAACATCTAGAGGTCTGAACTCGGTCTACTACTCGAGCTAGGTCCGTAAAGCTATCCGTATTGTACGAATTTTCTGGACAGCCGTTGTCGGTTTTCTGTACTTAACTCGAGCTGTAGGAGAGCTACAAAGCTGATGCGCACACGTACTCGGTTCATAATCATGAGGCGCATTCGTCATGATGAGGAGGAGGTGGAGGAGGAAGAAGAGGAGGAGGAGGAAGAGGAGGAGGAGGGGCAAGGGGGTGCAGGGGGATGCGGTCGGACAAGGGAGGTGGGACGATGGTGATGATGCTTATGAAAATAATGAGGAGGAGGAAGAGGAGGATACCGATGACGATGATGATCATGATAATGTCGATGATGCTAATGAGGACGATGATGGTGATGATGATGCTGCTGCTGATGCCGATGATGCTGATGATGATGATGATGATGATGATGATGATAGTGATGCTGATGATGATGTTGATGCTGATGATGATGATTGTGCTGCGGCTGATGATGATGATGATGCTGATGAGGCTTCTGTTTTTCATTATTCCCCACATGCTTGGTGGGGTTCGGGTTTTCTTCTCTGCCGCGCCGCGCCCGCGACTCACACCTCCTCCTGCCCCTCCTCCTCCCCCTCCTCTTCCTTCCTCCCTAACCCACAGCGCAGCACAACACGGCACATCAAAGCACACACATACGCACACACACATACAGACATACACACATACAGACAAACACAAAAGCACGCACACAGCATACAGCACAACACAGCACAGCACAGCACAGCACAGCACAGCACAGCACAGCACAGCACAGCACAGCACAGCGCAGCACAGCACAGCACATCACAGCACATACACATACACATACACACATACACGCATACACACAACCACAAGCACACACAGCACACAACACACACAGCACAGGACAGCACAGCACAGCACAACACAGCACAGCAGACCACAGCCCAGGTCAGCACAGCACATCACGCCCTAGTCGTCCAGGCATACCAGGCGTGGCACTTTCTGGACACCATAGGGGGTGCGAAGGGGGTGGTCTCTCAGTGCGGCCGCTATCCACGACACTGTCGCAAAGCCTAGGAGGCGTGACACTTTCTGGACACTCTAGGGGTGCGCTGGGGGTTCGGGCGCTGTGCGTTGCAGGCTCGCAGGGCGTTGCAGGCGTTGGATTGCATCGACACCACAGGGGGTGCGCTGGGGGTGGTCTCCCTACCCGTTGCGGCCTCGCACAGCGTGGCAGGCGTGGCACTTCCTCGACACCACAGGGGGTGCGCTGGGGGTGGTCTCCCTATCCGTTGCGGCCTCGCACCGCGTTGCAGGCGTGGCACTTCCTCGACGCCACAGGGGGTGCGCTGGGGGTGGTCTCCCTACCCGTTGCGGCCTCGCACAGCGTGGCAGGCGTGGCACTTCCTCGACACCACAGGGGGTGCGCTGGGGGTGGTCTCCCTACCCGTTGCGGCCTCGCACAGCGTGGCAGGCGTGGCACTTCCTCGACACCACAGGGGGTGCGCTGGGGGTGGTCTCCCTATCCGTTGCGGGCTCGCAAGGCGTGGCAGGCGTGGCACTTCCTCGACACCACAGGGGGTCTGGTCAGTCTGGCTGTTGTGGCTGACCTTGCTGGTCTGGTCAGTTTGGCTCGTCATGATAGCGAAGGGGGATGTGACATGGTTTGTGAACACACGTGACGTAAAATAAGTATGTGGGGTCGTTGGTAGCGTAATGTTTGTTTTGATTTTCTGTATTACTTTTATGTCATCATTGCTACCACCTTATCATTCTTGTCATTATTACCAATATTACACTCCATTCGTTTTATACATCTTTTGTGTATCTTGGCTTACTAATAGTTTCACTATTACTATTGTTATTCTTACAAATGGGTTTGGTTTTCGTATTTGTAGTCGCGCCATTATTACAATTATCATTATGACCGCCATAGTCGCACCATTATTATGATTGTACCGTTTCTGTAGTCGCACCGGCGTTACCAGTATGACTATTATTACCATTATCATTATCATTGTTATGCTAATTATCATACTATTATTACCAGTATTTTTTTTTATCTTTATTAGTATTCTGACTAGTTGTACGTGTTCTTATCGTATCTTTTCTATTAGTATGGTGATGATGATGGTGATGGTGTCGGTGGTGGTTGTGATGATGATGCTGCTGATGATGGTGACGAGGAGGAGGAGGAGGAGGATCAGGAGGAAGAGGAAGAGACGACGGAGGAGAAGGAGGAGGAGGAGGAGAGGGAGGAGGAGGAGGAGGAGGAGCAGGAGCAGAAGGAGGAGGAGAAGGAGGAGGAGAAGGAGGAGGAGCAGGAATGAGCAGGGGAGACAGAGCAGAAGGGAGGGAGGGGCAGGAGAGATAAAGGTGAGGAGGAGGAGGAGTGCATGGCGGGATGGTGCTTCCTCTGTTCAACTGCGTGATACTGGGCACGCCGTGCGCTGATGCAACGCGCTCGGTCGGGACTGCTGCACTGCGGAAGCACTCGCCGTGGGCGGCTAGAGTACGTTTCCCAGAACGCATCACGCATCCGTGTTGTCGGCATGGCGCGCTGGATCGGTACCCTTTTTAGGGCTTTCAACGTATAGATCGCAGGGGGGAGGGGGGGGGGTGCGGGTGACGGGGGTGCTAATTAGCATTGTGTTCACGCGTGGTCCTCAAACAGCCTAGAGGCGCAGCGAGGATGAGACATGAACGTTGCCGCAGCGATGCCTGGACACAGGCACAACATGCACTGAACTTGCATTCGCAACCATATTCCACTGATTGAAGTAGGCCGTATGATGGAGACAAGACTGGGGAGACGAGACAAGACGGGCAAGGCAACGGAAAGCACACGAGACAGACGTGCCTCAACATGTCCAGTAGCATCCTCTGAATCTGCTTACCTCATTGTGTGATTTCCAGTTTTCGTGCGCTGGCGTCTGCTCGAGAAGGCCGGGCTATGCTGCCATGGCGGCCAAGCGATCCAATCGGGGACCCCAGTTCACACTGTTCGGGACCATCTGGTGGACGCTGGTCTTGCTCGTCGTCACCATCGGGAGTACCGTAGTCGCTGGGCATTGGCGCGTGCCACTTCAGTTCCGTTCACCTCTCGATTATCCTTTCGACGGAGCAGCATTTCCAGAGGCCTTGCAGCATCCAACTTCACACCTCGCTTCTAGCAGGTACACATTCGCGTCTTTCTTCTTGCCCACCCCCTCCCGCCCTATCTCGTCCTTGCCGGGACCCAAGAGGACGAGTGTTCGTCTCTGCAGTGCATGGGGACTGCGCAGCATGGAAGGGGTAGAGGTGGGGGGCAAAGGAGGAGGGGGCTGGTGAGGGGAAGGACGTCGATGATGATGGTGATGATGATGATGCTGATTCTGATGCTGATTCTGATGATGATGATGATGCTGATGATGTTGACAAAATCGACGATGATGATGAGTATGAGTATGAGTATGAGTATGAGTATGAGTATGAGTATGAGTATGAGAATGAGTATGAGTATGAGTATGAGTATGAGTATGAGTATGAGTATGAGTATGAGTATGAGTATGAGTATGAGTATGAGTATGATGATGATGCTGCTGCTGATGATGATGATGCTGATTATGATGCTGCTGCTGATGATGATGCTGCTGATGATGATGATGCTGATTATAATGGTGGTGGTGGTGATGGCGGATGATGATGATGATGATGATGATGATGATGATGATGATGATGATGATGATGATGATGATGATGATGATGATGATGATGATGATGATGATGATGATGATGATGATGATGATGATGATGATGATGATGATGATGATGATGATGATGATGATGACGATGACGATGACGATGACGATGATGATGATGATGATGATGATGATGATGATGATGATGATGATGATGATGATGATGATGATGATGATGATGATGATGATGATGATGATGAGAGGAGGAGGAGGAGGAGGAGGAGGAGAGGAGGAGGAGGAGGAGGAGGAGGAGGAGGAGGAGGCAGAGAGGAGAAAAGGATGATAAGTACGATGATGAGCAGGATGGCGCCCTGTCTCGTCCCAAGGGTGGGGGAGAACTGCGTCCTCACATTAGGCGGCGGCGGCCTCGCCGCTGGCGGCGGCAACGGCCCCGCGGCCCGACGGGCCGGCGCTGGCGGCCCCTGGCAGTGCGGGGGCGCCGGCGGCTGGCGTGGCCCAGCCGTCGTCGGGCGCCGCGGCCCCGGAGCAGACGGTCGCGGACAGCGACCCCGTGCCCGCGCGGCAGTTCTGCGACAGCTGCTGCAACGACGGAGAGAAGTGCATCGAGGAAGCGGACAAAACGGCAGAAACATATGCCGTCGGAGCGCCGCGCAGATTTCTCGGGGCGGGGAATCCGCGCGGAGCTCTGGAAGCTTCTGCTCAGGCAGTTTTGTCTTCTCCGAGGTACGTCAAGTGCTTCGACCTTGGCAGCTGTGAGGAACACGTGACGAGGAGGAGGAGGGGCAGCGCTCCCGAGAAGTACGCGCTGGTGCTCTCCCACTTCGGCATGCCAAACGCACGGTTCAAGTTCCTGCCCTTTATCTCTTCTTGGAGGGACCAGGCCACGAAGTATCCCGGCGTTCACATCGATATCCTGCTGCTGATCACAGCAAAAGATGCGAAATACTTGAAACCTGAGAACCACAAGCTCATGGAGGATACTGGCGTGCGTGTGGTGGAGGTTGATTGGAATGTACCACCTGGCATGATGTACAAAGGGCAGTCCGCATTCAACCACTACAGAGACGACGGATCAGACTGGTGTGGGCCGCAAGACCTGATGCGCCTGCACGCATTCACCCTTGAGGGATACGATGCCGTCGCCTATTACGACAGCGACATCGAGTTCCGAGGAGATCTCCTGCCAGTCTTTCGATGCGCGTCGAAGCCGGGACGATTTATCACAACTGGAGGTGGAATAGGCGTTCCGCTGAACATAGGTTTCTTCGCTCTCCGTCCCGACCCTCGCTTCATGCAGGCGTCCCGATTCTTTGCCGAGAACTATAACTACTCCCTGGCCAACGGCTGGGGCAACAGTGGCTGGGCACCATCTAAAGTGAAGTACGCTGGTGGCGAATGTGGACAAGGGTTTATTCATACTCTCCTTTACAAGCGCGGCAGCGAGCCGTCCCTGAAGTCTCTGGAGGCTGCGGGGCTTGCTGCGCCAGGGATGTTGGATCCAGTGCAGATCGACAAATGTGTTTGGAATTATCAAACGTCCTTCCAGTGCCCGAAGGACTTCGACTGCTCTCTGGTGCGAGCGCACCACAAGCCCAAGAAGCCAGGCAAGAACCCGAACGAGTGCCTCAAGCTCGGAGTGAAGTGGAAGCCGCCCAAGCCTGGCGAATGACGCGCCGAGTGATTGGCGCATCCACTGCCGCCCCAGCTCCAGCAGGACCTGCAGTCGCCTCGACCAACCCGGAGCGAACGAGCGGAACCCACAACTCAGCATCGTCTAATTTGTGCGCATCCCCACTGGACCATGGTATATACCTCAGCCCCACCAGCCCACCCTCCTTGGTGGGGACAGGCCCCACGAAAACCGAAGGAACCGGCACGCATCCCCACCTGGAAGGCCAAGTCGGCCAGTGCGGCCAAGTCCACGCCAGAAGGGGTAGGGATCCAATAGACGATGCTCAACTCGGAGGCGACGAGTGGGATGAGTAGCCCAAGGGGGAACAATACCTGTATCCTGGGGCGCTGATGGTCCATCTCTTCGGCGATGCTTCCCGGCTAGCACGTGTACTGCCCGCCCCTGGGCTAATCTTCGGCCCGCCCCTGGGCTAATCTTCGGGGGCGGGGGCGTACTGGTGGGGCGATCAATGGGGGGCAGCGAGGGCTGCCGCAACGGGGCCCTCTTCAGGGCCCCCAAAGTGGCCCTTTCCTGGGCTCCGTTCGGGAGCCTCTTTGGGGCCCGAGGAGGGCACCTTCTCCCCCCCTTCCAATCTACCACCCCCCACCAACTCGCGCCCCACCGCCCCTGGGCTATTCGCCCCCCTCGTCGCCCCTGGTCAGCAGCCGACCCCCGAGCGCGGCGCTCCCCGGCCGCCCGCTGGCGACGCCCGGCGCCGCGGCGCTCCCCGGACCGCGGGTTGCCGCGGCGGGCGCCCCGCGGCGGGTGGCGCCCGGCGAGCGAGGCCTGGCGGCGGCCGGCCAGCCCCCAGCGGCGCGGCCGGCGCCGCGGCGGAGAGCGGCGGTCGGAGGGCGCCTAGTCGGGGGGCCTCTGGGAAGCCTTCAGGGGCCCTCCAGGAGCCCCCTGGAGGAGGGGCTCCGAGGGTCTCCGGAGTGCCCTTCGCGGGCCCGTGGCCGGCCAGCCCCAGCGGCGCGGCCGGCGCCGCGGCGGAGAGCGGCGGTCGGAGGGCGCGTCATCGGGGGGCCATAGATGGGGGGGCGGCGAGTGCAGCGAGGGCTGCCGCGAGGTCGAGCGCGCTCCCCGCCGTGAAGGGGCTTCCTGGGGACTCTCCGTGGGCATGAGGATGCAGTGCAGGATCGTGGATGCATCCTGGGTTGACCCCGGAGGCCTCCACGGGCCTGCGGAGGGCACTCCGGAGACCCTCGGAGCCCCTCCTCCAGAGGGCTTCTGGAGGGCCCCTGGAGGCTTCCCAGAGGCCTCCCGAGATCCCAGAGACCTCGGGGGGGGTGGAGGCAGCGAGGGCCGCCGAACAGGGGCCCTTCCGGACCTCGGAAGGGGGGCCCTTTGCAGCCCAGAAGGGGGCCGTAGGGTCCGCAGAGGGGACCTGCCCCCCCCCCCCCCCCGAATTTATCGCCCCCCATTACTGCGCCCCCAAGCGGCGGAGAGCGGCGGAGAGCGGCGGCCGTGTCCGCGCGGCCGAGCCTCGAAGGAGAAAAGAGCGGCAGAAGCATGAGCTTTCCGCGGCCCTCGCGGATCTGTTGGATCTGCGCTGGGGCCCTCTTGCGGCGCCTCTGGCGTTGCTCCTGGCGCGTTGCGCGTGTTAAAGGCAGAGGCTTGTGCGCAGATTCAAGCCCTCCGCGCGGACAGACGAAAGTTCATCTTGCGCAGTTAGTTTCAACGGTTTTTTTCCTAACCATCCTGTGGTGTTGAGACTTCGTTTTGAAGAGTCAACGCCCTGCGTGCCCCACTCCTCCTTCCTCCTCCCCATTGGGAGCTTCACCGAAGGTGCCAGTGGCGCAGTCCGAATGCGGTCCCCCTGCCCAGTACGGCGTTTCGTGGTCCTATTTGGAGCTCCACCGAAGGTGCCAGTGGCGTAGTCCGCATTCGGTTCTCCCCAATTGGTGCAGTTTTTTGTGGCCCCAGAGGGAGCTCCACGAAAGACGATACCCACAATTGCTGTACTCACTACTGCATATGGTTGGCTTCTTTGCCAGGCTAATTCTACTTCTACTAGGGACTGCAGGTAGAGAGTCCGTGGTTGGGTAAGTGTCGCGTGTCGGTTCTATCGAAGACGCCTGCGGCGAATCACCGCCGCCCCCCCTGCCTTCTAGAATCGCCCACGTGGCCGAGCGTTGTGGCAAGAGCTCTGCCAAGGTATCGGGCCATGTGTTCCCCCAGCCGTTGTGGAAACCCTTCGGCGGCGAACACTTGGGGGAGGATGGCGGGGATAATTAGGAGGAGGCGGAGGAGGAGTTGGAGGAGGAGCAGGAGGACGAGGAGGAGGAGGAGGTGGTGGAGGTGGTGGAGGAGGAGGAGGAGGAGGAGGAGAAGGAGGAGGAGGAGGAGAAGGAGGAGGAGGAGGAGGAGGAGGAGGAGGAAGGGACATCTTGGGAGTCTCTGGGGACACTCTTGGGGCCTCCGGGGAGCTTTCTGGGAGCTTCCTGGGGGCCTCTTGGAGGCATGTTGGGGGCCCTCTTGGAAGCCTCTTGGGGATCTTCGGGGGCTTCTCGAGATCCTCTTTGGCCGTCTTGGTGAGGTCCTGGCCCGTCTGACGCTGTCGGAAGCCGTCTTGGGGGCCTCTCTGGGCCGACTTGGGGCCCTCTTGGGGTGCTCCAGGGCCGTCTTGGAGGCCTCTTGGGCCGTCTAGGGGCCCTCTTGGGCCCGTTTAGGGGCCCTCTTGGGCCCGTCTTGGGGGCCTCTTGGGCCTTTCTTGGGCCATCCTGGAGGCCTGTTGGGCGATCCTGGGGCGATCTTTGGGTGCTCTTGGGCCGTCTCGGGCCGTCGATAGGCCGAAAAAAAGCAAATGCCTACATCCTTCAACAACCTGAGGCACATCAATGATTTTGGCCTCTTCGGGCCTTCCTGGAGGCCCTCTTGGAGGCCGCTTGGGCCGTCTTGGGTCATCTTAGGCCATCTTGGGCCGTCTTGGTGGGCTCCTGGCCCGTCCGACGCCGTCGGAAGCTGTCTTGGGGTCCTCTCTGGGCCCATTTTGGGGCCCTCTTGGAATGCTCCATGGCCGTCTTGGAAGGTTTCTTGGGCGTCTAGAGGCCTCTTGGGTAAGCCCTCTTGGGGCCGTCTTGGGGGCCTCTTGGGCCGTTCTTGGGCCATCTTGGAGGCCTCTTGGGCGATCTTGGGGCGATCTTCAGGGGCTCTCGGGCCGTCCCGGGCCGTCGGAAGGCCGAAAAGGAGAAACTACGAACATCCTTCAACTCTGGCCTCTTCGGGCCTTCGGGAGGCCCTCTTGGAGTCCGCCTGGGCCGTCTTGGGCCATCTTGGGGCCACCTTGGGCCCTCTCGGTGGGCTCCCGGCCCGTCCGACGCCGCCGGAAGCTGTCTTGGGGGGCCTCCCTGGGCCCATTTTGGGGGCCCTCGGGGGGTGCGGCCGTCGCCCCGCGGCGGCTCCGCGGCCAGCGATCCGCGGCTGGCCCTCGGGGGAGCCGCGGCGGCCGCGAGTGCGGTCCGCGGGGGGCCCGTGGCGCCCCCCCTCGGCGCGCTGACGGGCTCTGGGGGGCGGCTCTTGGCCCCAGAGAGCCCCCGAGCAGTGCCCCCGCCCTCCGCCGCGGCCCTCCGGGCTCCTCGGCGTCGGGGGCCCGCCTCGCCGTGGCCCGGCACCGGCGGCACCGCCGGCGCGCGCTCCCGTCCGCCCCGCTGCGCGCCGCGGAGGGGCCCCGCGCGGGGCGCCGCCCCGCGCTTGCCGGCCGCGCGTCCGCGCGTCGCTCGCCCCCGCGGCGCACGCCCGCCCCGCGTCGGTGGGGCCACGCTCGCAGCGCGGCGGCGGGCCCGGGGCGGAGGCTCCTCGGAGGCCCATGGCGCCCTCGGGTGCGGTCGGGGCGAGGGCTCGGATCGAGGTCGGTGCGGGAAGGGTGCAGTGGAGACCCGTGCCAAGAAGCACACTGCCTGCCTCCAGAGAGTCCCGGGTTTCTTGGGTGTCGATGGGTTTGAGGTGGAGAGCGTGACGTTCCCACACCAAGAGTCCGTGGACGTCCTGGGGTTTCAGGGTTGGGTTTCTTGTGGAAGGCCTCTTGCGGTCGGGCCCCCTTGCACCCGGATGTTCTTCGTGTCTGTCGGATGTTCTTGTGCATTCTGGGCGAGGGTGCCCTCGAGTGTTCTTCCGTTTGACCGGCGGAGGCTCTCATGCTTTTGAGGGATGCTCTTCTGTCTTAGGTCTGGCCGTAAATCGGGCGCTCCATTCTCTGCTTCGCAGTCGTGAGGCGCTCCGTCTCCCGTATCCTATCTCGTAAGTCGCGCGCTCTTCTGCCCACGCGTCCTTCCGGCTGTGGTGGTGGTGGTGGCTCAGGGGGGGGAAAAACACATAGACACAATTAATCGTCGACTCCCAGGAAAATATGGGAAAATATGGGAAGTGGGGGGGAGGACAAAAACCCAGAAAATATAGGAAAATATGGGGAATCATTTTATTTGTGTGTATTTATTTGTGTGTCCTGGGGCCCCTTCAGTGGCGGGGGTGCCCAGGCAGCCTCTCGGGAGGCCGAGCCCTCTGAGAAGGCCCGCCCCCCCTCGCACTGCCCGCCGGCTTCGCCGCCGCGGAGCGCCCGACCGAGGGGGCTCCCTCGCTTCTGCTGGCGTGGAGCGCCCTCCCTCAAACTGCAGGGCATATTTCAGGAGGGAAAGAAACACACAGACACAATTAATCGTCGATTCCCGGGAAAATATGCAAAAATATGGGAAGTGGGGGGGAAGACAAAAACCCCAAAAATATGGAAAAATATGGGGAATTATTTTATTTGTGTGTATTTATTTGTGTGTCCCAGGGCCCCTTCAATATTGCGGCTCTGTCGATTCGCTCGGATTCGTTTCTGAGGATTCCAGTTCTGGTTCGATTCCACCCTGGATTCCGAACTCGGCTCGTATTTCCTCATGTATGCCTCGGCCTGGACCGGCGATATTTCGATGTCCGATCCGATGTTCCGTTTTCATATGGGGGGCTTTCCTGCCAGTGCCGGGGAAGCGTAAGACTCGAGTTTACCGAAACTTGGGTCTGCCGCCGCTATTTGGTGGTCCTAGCATGGATTTGACGCCCCAGTTTTCGTGTGATGTTTGCAGTGGGATGTCGCGTTGAATTTCAGACTAGATCTCGTGATGCGTCTGATGGCTCCCTTGGACAAGTCCGAGTCCCCACAACTTGAGTCTTACGTCTCCCCGCGACTCCATGAGATCCGACGTTGCGAAAGCAATGCAACATCGCGAAATATCCTGACCGAACCCCAGATCCCAGCTTTCTGCGGCAGTCTTCGAGCCGGGTCGACCTGTGCCTGTCTCGTGGCCTCGCAGGAGGCTGTTTTCTTAGGGTCGGGCTTGCCCCCCCCCTCTCCCCCCCCCAGGATAACCCAACCTTGCCGGTTGTGCAGGTCCGCGGGGGGGGAGGGCGCGGGCATGTGCAGGGCTGCCCACAGCGCGAGGGTTGGGCTGTCGGCCGGCCCCCTCCTCCCCCCCCCCTCCCCGGGATAACCCGGGTTGTCGCCGATTCAGAAGCAAACCGTCTCCAGGCGCGCCGGCTCTCAGCAGGCCAGCCTATAAGCGGGGAGGCGCCCTGTGCTCTGACACCGCTGGGGGGCGGACCTCCTCCCGGGGCGGGCGCGCGCGCCCCCCCCCCCCCCCCGCGCTGGGACGGCCTCCCTGCGGTCGGACGGCGTCTCCCGCTCCGCGCGCTCCCTGGGGGCTGTGCCGGGAGGCTGGGCCTGGCGCTGCTCCCCGTGCCGGGTTCCGTCGGGCCTGTGCCTCTACAGGGGG